AACATTGTAGAGGATGGAAGAAATATTTGACGACGTAGATAATGGAAAATAAAATAAATATACAACACTAACGATTTACATAAAATTCTCAGCTATACCACCAGTTCTATACACCAGTTGTTCATTCATTTTCACAACTGACTAAAAAAAATCCACTACAAAATCCACTTACCGTGACCTTCAAAATATAAACTCACTGTGTCTGGAAATCATTGAGCAAAATTTGTCACTCGCTAATGGATGAAAATTTATTTACGCTGATCTGTTTGTCCTAACTTGACTGATAAAAATGCTTTCAGTATGAGGGATTGTTTCGTTTTCTTTTTTCTTTTGTTTTTTCTGGTATAAGCACCTGCCACCAATCACATCATCTAAATGTAGAACAATAGTCAACTTGCACAAAAAATCATCAAACGGCACCAAAGTTCCTCCTCATTACCATCACAGCTCACATCAGTATCATCTCTCATAATTATCCGCCCAACACCTCTACCTTAACAGTTCACGGCTCAGACCCTCCCCCATGTGACCACTCGGGCCGCCTACATAACCCCGGGCCGCCTCACCAGCCAGCCCACGACGGCCGTCAGTCACTAATGGTGTGTGACGACCACTAATGGCCGAGTGAACGGTGGAGTTAATGGCGGTCCTCACTCGTCTCCTGTACCAGACTGATCCTAAGGTGGCGAGGGACGGCTTCTACCTATCTCTAACCTTCATTCCTTCCCTAGTTCAGCCCTGCACCCCCCCCCCACCCTAGTTCAGCTCTGCCCCACCCTCATTCCCTCCCTACTTCAGCCCTGCTTCTCCCTTCCTCGCTACCCGGATTGAAACAAACTGAAAATTAACATAAAATAAACTTAAATGAAAAATGAGACAAATAAGCGAGAGGGTGAGGGTGTTAAGAGAGTGGTCAGGATTCTCTATCATGGCGGAATGTGAATTGAGGAGGGTTTATATAACACCCTTTCCTCTAACCCTGAATTGTGATCGGGGGGAAGATCAGGGGGGGCAGGAGAAAGGAAGGTTAGGTTAGGTTATCATCATGGGGTGAATCAAGGGGTTGGGAGGTTCCTATCACCCCCCTCCCGCAACTGTCATCATGGGGGGTGAATCCAAGGTTGGGGGAGGTTCCTATCACCCCCTCCCCACCAGCTGTCATCATGGGGGGTGAATCAAAAGGTTGGGGAGGTTCCTATCACCCCCTCCCCACCAGCTGTCATCATGGGGGGTGAATCAAAAGGTTGGGGAGGTTCCTATCACCCCCTCCCCACCAGCTGTCATCATGGGGGGTGAATCAAAAGGTTGGGGAGGTTCCTATCACCCCCTCCCCACCAGCTGTCATCATGGGGGGTGAATCAAAAGGTTGGGGAGATTCCTATCACCCCCTCCTCACCAGCTGTCATCATAGGGGTGAATCAAGGTTGGGGAGGTTCCTATCACCCCCTCCCCACCAGCTGTCATCATGGGGGGTGAATCAAAAGGTTGGGGAGGTTCCTATCACCCCCTCCCCACCAGCTGTCATCATGGGGGGTGAATCAAGGGGTTGGGGAGGTTCCTATCACCCCCTCCCCACCAGCTGTCATCAAGGGGTTGAGTGGCAGCAGAGCCTTCATGTTTACTTTAGTCGAGAGTGTTGCCTTAACAAAACAAACCTGGCGATATTGCCTCTTACATGACTTGCTCCTCCTTCCCTCTCTCTCCCCTCCTCTCTCCTTCCTTCCTCTTTTATTCTCTCTCGCGGTTCTCCGTGTACTTCCTTCTTTCCTCGTCTTCACTTTGTCTCTCATCATTCTTTCCCTCCTGTCTCTCCCTCTCTATCGCCGTTCTCCCTCTTCCCTCGTCGCTATCCTTCTTCTCTCCCCTGGCTATCATTAGGTTCTCACTGTTTACTCTACCCTTAAAAAAATACAAAGGATATCTCGAGTACACAAACCCACTCAAAACACACACACACGCATGCATGCATGCATGCACACACACACGCACGCGCGCACGCGCACACACACGCGCACACACCCCCATCCACTCACACACACACACACATCCGTACGTAGGTGTTTATTTACCCAAAGAAATATATATAACCCTTGAGTCTCACTTACGCCGCCATCTTCCCTCATTGCAGCAACAGTGACACACACACACACACACACACACACACACACACACACACACGCTGCAACTCTATTAATAAACCGTTTATTATTATTATTATTATTATTATTATCACAAAACCCCACATCATATTTGTGCTGTTCCACCTGGCTGACTGTCCCACTCTTGACCGTACAATTAACACACCTGGCGTACGTCCCTTCACCTGGGCCAAGGCATCATTGAACATCCAGGGAATGAGAAAACTAACAAGGGCCACTACAACATAAACAAGGGGCATGGAGGCATAAGACACATTTAGGCACTAACAAGGGACACCTAGGCAAGGCATCATCAGGGAACACTCATGGCATCAGGACATAAGACAAAAGGGCATTACCAGGGCATATTTTGGTGAATATCACATCTGTTCACCTACTTCCGAGATGCCTTACACAAAAGGATGAGAGAGAAGGGTGGCGGATAACAGGAGGAAGTGGATCAAAACAAAAGTGTAGTATTAGAAATAAGAGGTAACAAGACCACCACTACCACCTCCACCTCCATCACCACCACTACCACCTCCATCACCACCATTACCACCGCCTCCATCATCACTGCCTCCTCCTCCTTCACCATTACTGCCTCCTCCTCCTCCACCTTCACTGCCTCCTCCTCCTCCTCCCACCATCCACTACCTCCCTCCCTCCCTCCCCTCCCACCATCCTGCCTCCTCCTCCTCCCCTCCTCCTCCCTGCCTCATCCCACCCCTCCTCCTCCCCTCCCACCATCACTGCCCTCCCTCCTCCCCTCCCCACCATCACTACCTCCCTCTCCCTCTCCTCCCCTCCCTGTCACTGCCTCCTCCTCTCCTCCCACCATCCCCTGCCTCCTCTCCCCCACCATCACTACCTCTCCCACCATCCCCTGCCCGCCTCCTCCTCCATCACTGCCTCCTTCTCCACCATCATCATCACCACCACCACCACCTCCTCCACCACTACATCCTCTCCACCAACCATTACACGCCTGTTGTCATACTTGCATAGTTTTGTGATCCATAAATTCGATGGAAAATATTTGTCTAAAATAGCTTAAGCGCAGAACCGTGATGGTCCCTCGCAGGCTGGGCCCCGACCCTCACACACCTCCTGTACAGTAATAGCGACGCCTGGTACAGTAACGGCGACGCCTGGTACAGTAACGGCGACGCCTGGTACAGTAACGGCGACGCCTGGTACAGTAACGGCGACGCCTGGTACAGTAACGGCGACGCCTGGTACAGTAACGGCGACGCCTGGTACAGTAACGGCGACGCCTGGTACAGTAACGGCGACGCCTGGTACAGTAACGGCGACGCCTGGTACAGTAACGGCGACGCCTGGTACAGTAACGGCGACGCCTGGTGCAACAACGGCGACGCCTGGTGCAACAACAGCGACGCCTGGTGCAATAACTGGCGACGCCTGGTTACAATAACGGCGACGCCTGGTACGGTAATGGCGGCGCCTGGGTACAGTAATGGCGGCGCCTGAATTTTATTAATGGCGGCGCCTGGTACGGTAATGGCGCCTGGTTTTATTAATGGCGACGCCTGGTGTCAATGGCGACGCCTGGTACAGTAATGGCGACGCGCAATTTTGGTAATGGCGACGCCTGGTACAATGTGGCGACGCCTGGTACCCGTCCCAATGGCGACGCCTGGTGCAGTAATAACGACGCCTGGTGCAACAATGGCGACGCCTGGTGCAGTAATGGCGACGCCTGGTGCAGTAATGGCATGCCTGGGTACCGTAATGGCGACGCCTGGTACAGTAATGGCGACGCCTGTGGTACAGTAATGGCGACGCCCTGGTGCAGTAATGGCGACGCCTGTGGTGCAGTAATGGCGACCTGGTACGGTAATGGCGACGCCTGGTGCAGTAATGGCGACGCCTGAATTTGCAGTAATGGCGACGCCTGGTACAGTAATGGCGACGCCTGCGTTGCAGTAATGGCGACGCCTGGTGCAGTAATGAGCGCACGGTGCAGTAATGGCGACGCCTGGTACGGTAATGGCGACGCCTGGTTGCAGTAATGGCGACGCCTGGTACGGTAATGGCGACGCGCTGGTTTTGATAATGAGCGCCTGGTACCGGCTAATGGCGACGCCCATAGTTTTGGCTCAATGGCGACGCCTGGTACAGTAACGGCGACGCCTGGTACAGTAACGGCGACGCCTGGTACAGTAACGGCGACGCCTGGTACAGTAACGGCGACGCCTGGTACAGTAACGGCGACGCCTGGTACAGTAATGGCGACGCCTGGTACAGTAATGGCGACGCCTGGTACAGTAATGGCGACGCCTGGTACAGTAATGGCGACGCCTGGTACAGTAATGGCGACGCCTGGTACAGTAATGGCGACGCCTGGTACAGTAATAGCGACGCCTGGTTCAGATAATAAAAAAATTATCTTAAGAATAAAACCTTAAATTTCCTCAATATTATTTGGAGTTCTTAATATTTACTGGAACTTGATGCAACTGGGGGAGCACTGCTTCCCTCACCACTCGTCGTATTTCAGTAAAGGTAAAAACTAGACAACAATACAGGAAATGAATTTTCGTAAATTATATTTCAAAAATATATAATTTATTGGTGGAAATTTGTCAAATAATAATTATTATTCGACGCTGCTCCACTGACCTTCAAACACATTCCTTCTCTGTTTTTCTTCGTAACATTTTTTTTTACCACCATAACTAAATGTCTCCCTTCAGCTAGTGAGACATAATCCAGACATCTCCCCCCACCAGCTGTCATCTACCACGACAAACGTAAACAAACACACATCTCCCGGGTCCTCCCAAACACCATGGGTGGCGCGGGACAACAAGTATAGAGGGTTAGGGGGTGTCTTACCTGCGAGGAGAGTTTGGTCATGTCCACCGGCTTGATCTTCTTGAGAGCTGAGAGCCGCTCGAGGCGCTCTCGAGCCTGCTGCTCCACGGCGATGACGAACGCATCTTGAACGTTCGAACTCGCCGCTAAGTCCACAGCTGCCGGGGAGAGAAACAGTCGTTATTGAAAGTGAAAAAGTTGATTTAGTTAGAAGGTTAAGGGTGTATTAATGATGAAGGTTACAACAATCTTCAAAGGGCACTTCTCATTAAAAAATTCACATTACATATTTTATACGTATATTTGGTAACCTTTACTCACATTTACAATAAAAAATCACATGAAAATAAAACTAACAGATCATTTAGCTAAAAAGGTTGAAATTATAACTCTACCATATTAATAACACCGTAATAACCGAGCCACTGGACTAAAATAACTTCTTCAGGAGGCACCACAACCATCCCCCTAAGTGAACGTGACTTAATATATACCAAAGTACAGTATATATATATATATATATATATATATATATATATATATATATATATATATATATATATATATATATATATATATATATATTATTATTAAATAGCAATATTATCAATGTATTCATAAAGGTTAACAACTAGCTCAACGAGTCAATGACAAAGTTCTGGGAGAAAGTCCGTGATTACTGAAAACTTCCCCCAGAGATCAGGACTTAATAAAAAGTGGACGACGAGGGGAGGGAAGCAGAGCGTGAAGCTGGCCAGTCCTCACTGTCTACCTGCCTCCAGGGGACGGCTACTTGTGAACCACCCACCCACCTACTCCTCATCCTGACCCACATCCTCATCCATACCCTCATACTCACCCCTATCCTCCACCTCACCCACCACCACACCCTCTTACCACTACCACCTCACCCACAACCTCCACCCACACCTCAACATCCCGGAGATGAATGATAATACAATGTTGACTACACTAACACCAGGGGCGAGGGATAACTATAACAAATGATTAAAATAAAAGATGACAAAGAATAAGAGAGAATAATTCCTTACTACACTTAACCTCTGGACAAGAGACTTAACAAAAAAATAAAGAGGACACTATTTAACACTCCGCCTTGACCAAACCCTCTACACTGTGTATATAAAGCAACTCCTCCTCCTCCTCCTCTCCCCTTATTGACACTCACTGTTTATAAAGTTTACTGCACACGTCATCAAAACAAGACAAATGTTACGTAATGGTTCAATCTTTTAGCCTTGATGGATTGCACTGGACTGTGTTGTGAAAGTAAGTTTGTCTTGTAAGTTGATATTTATTTATTTTTTGGGGCTTCATTTTTATTCTTAGCTATTATTCCGGTGTTGTAAAAAAAAATAGTAAATGCATGGACACTCACTCACACACATATACGCACGCTCAAACAATTAAGCACACCCAATAAAACACAAATGCAAGCAAGCACACGCGCACGCAACCAAGGACACACGTGTACACAAACAGATCACAACAAACATATGTGTGCACATTCCCCCAAAACAAACAACATACATACACGCCACTAGCCCACACACACACCCGACAGACCTCTCGACAGTTCTCACATACAAGTTTTATTCGTCAGATGACTCGAGGCCTCGCGTAGCATACAAAAGATGAAGGCCACGTCGTCCTCCTCTCTATCTCGACGAAGTGTCCTTTTTTACCGTGAGTGGAGACCAGAGCGTGTAAGCAGCACTCTGGCGGGAGGCTGGAGGGACACACAAGTACCACTCCAGAGGCCGGAGTTGTGACAGGCGACGACACACTCCTCTAGAGAGACAGAGACTGGAGAACTTCTCTTAGTTGTGTTAAAGAAGAAGAAATACCCAGTTTCTCGCACTCCATTGAGAGTTTCAAGGCTAGTCCTCCAAAACACAGCATCTCTTGCACATGTCACCCTCAAAACAAATCGCCTCCTCCACTGGTCACCCTCAAACATCATGTCTGTCACGTAGCTTCCCTTCAACATCATGATGGCTCGTCATCCAAACACAGGATATCCTACCCCACCCACCCTCCAACACAACACCACCATCATCTCCCCCACCACCCACCCTCCAACACAACACCACCACCACCATCTCCCCCACCACTCACCCTACAACACAACACCACCACCATCTCCCCCACCCATCCTCCAAACTGTCACGAGACCCATACGTTTCGCCATCCATCACCGCTACTCTAATGCCCATATATCATACCTTAGCATGAAGCTGCAGCCCCAACCCCCTCACAAGCTTGTCTCAGGCAACACTCCACCACAACCCACCTCCATAACGTCTTTCAATCAATTTCAACTCACTCTACTATCCTTTCTTTCCCATGTCCACCTCCAAACATCAACTACAGCCCCTCCACTATAGCCCCATTTCTCATCATTCTTAATCTCCCTGTTAACCTCATCTCATATCACTCTCTTTCAGTCTCTCCCCCCACTCTCTCATCATTTCATCCTCTCGCACCTTCACTCTCGCCCTCTTTCTCTCCCCTTCTCACTTCCTCTCATTCTCTTCTCTCCCTCATCCCTGTACCCACAATCTCTCCATCTCACAATACCATCCTCGACCCCAACCAATTATACGCTCACCCACATCCGTCATATTTTTTTTAAACTATTTGTATGAGAGAGAGAGAGAGAGAGAGAGAGAGAGAGAACACAGCTACAACCTCACAGCAACAAACTCACAGCGCCACGCCAGCACAGCAACAACCTCAAAAGCTGCTTGCGCCAGCACAGCAACAAACTCACAGCGCCACGCCAGCACAGCAACAAACCTTCACACACACACACACACACACACAATAGACTGCACACTACCAGAGTCCCACGATAACTTGCAGAGCCTGAGGGTGGAATGCATGTACCACTACTTCTTTTCCTCTCCCACTCACCACCACCCTCTCATCCGTCCCACTCACTACCAAGTAACCAACCCTTCATACTCTACTACTCACTCATGATCTCCCACTCGCCACCATTTTCTCATAACCTTTCACTCACCACTATTACTCATTCCTCCCACTCACCACCACACTCTTATCCCTCTCACTCAACCACCACTCTCCCATTCACCATCCCCTCTCATAAACTCATTCACCACAGCCCACTCATCACCACCCTCACAAACTCTCTTCCAGGACCTTACCTTCAAGCCAGCCAGCCAGCCAGCCAGCCAGCCTCTCTCTCTCTCTCTCTCTCTCTCTCTCTCTCTCTCTCTCTCTCTCTCTCTCTCTCTCTCTCTCTCTCTCTCTCTCTCCAATAACAATCCCCGTAGTTTTATTAAACGAAGAACCGCACAAGACCTGTAAGAATGACCTGAATGAGCAAAACAGGTGGACTTGAAGGTAATTACAGGTATTTACAGAGATGAGGTCTGGACTCCAGGTGTGATAATTCCTTTGATAATAATTTATGTCCTTTTCGTGGCGGGAACAAGTAATTGAATATTGAAATTTTCGTGCAATAAATGGTGGTGTATTTTCTTTGGTTAGTAAAGTGTTGGTTTTGTGTGGTTGGTGATGAGGTATTTGTTATGCGGAGTGAGGTGGGGGAAGGAGAGGGTGAGGTGGGGGAAGGAGAGGGTGAGGTGGGGGAAGGAGAGGGTGAGGTGGGGAAGAAGAGGAGAGAATTGAGGAGGAAGTATCGTATGGTGAGAGATATAGGGGGAAGGGAGTAAGAATATGAGAGACGGAGAGTAATAAACATATCAAGAGAGGAAGGTTATGAGGAGGAGGGAGTGTGAGGACAAAGAAGGAGAGGTAGGGGAGAAGGAGAGTGAGGAGAAAGGGGAGAGTGAGGGAGAAGGGAGAGTGAGGAGAAGGGAGAAATTGAGAGAAAGGAGAATTGAGGGAGGAAATTGTTGAGGAGAAGGGAGGTGAGGAGAAGGGAGAGTGAGGAGAAAGGGAGTGTGTGAGGAGAAGGGGTGTGAGGAGAAGAGTGTCAGGGAGGAGGGAGTGTGAGGAGAAGGGAGAGTGAGGAGAAGGGAGAGTGAGGAGAAGGGAGGGAGAGTGAGGAGCAGTAAGATATAGGAGAGAGTGTGTGTGTAATAATAATAATAATAATAATAATAATAATAATAATAATAATAATAATAATAATAATAATAAACGGTTTATTGAAAGAGCATGCACGCCGGAAAGCTGAAAATATACATTTACATAATTAGGGAATGGGTCTCTGACGAATAATATACAAGTAACATAAGTGTACAAATATGATATATAATAACTAGGTGGGGAGAAGGTCACACTACAGGGCATTTCAACATAGTGACAGTGCAAAAAGGTAAGATTGACTGGGAGTGAACACACTGGTTGATTACAAGTTATTGAGAATTTTTACAATGGTTGGGACTGGGCTGTTCTTATAGTGATCAGTACGTGTTCGTATGGGCTGGATGCGGTGTGTGTGTGTGTGTGTGTGTGTGTGTGAGCCCAAAAGAGGAGGAGGGCGTGTGTGGAGTGAGAAGGAGGGGGAGCGGTCATGAAGGGTCAGGGGTAGTGTTGATATAACAGGAGAGGGAAGAGGCGGGGAGAGGAGGAAGAGGGGGGAAGAGAGGGGGAGAGAGGAGGGGGGAGGGAGGAGGCAGGGGAGAGGGGGGGGAGGGGAGGCGGGGGAAGGAGGAGGATGGGAGGAGGGGAGGAGGGGGAAGAGGGGGAAGAGGGAGGAGAGCAGGAGGAGGGGTGGGAGGAGGGTGGAGAGCAAGAGAGAAGAGGAGTAGGAGGAAGAGGAATTGGAGGAGGGGTGGAGGGTGGAGAGGGGAGGAGGGAAGGAGAGGAGGGGAGTGCGAGATGGGAGGAGAGGGTAGATGCGAGGGAGGGGGGGGAGGGAGAGGGAGGGAGTGCGAGGGAGAGGGAAGGGGTGGAGATGCCGGGAGGGAGGAGGAAGGCAGGAGGGAGTGTACACACGAAGGGTGGGGCTGGACAGAGTGTTAGGCGAGTGTTGGTCAAGTGGTCAACTCTGTCACCCCCCACCCCAGAGTCCCGTTATCTCCTTTCACAGCACTTCTTGCAACTCCTCCCTCTTGCTCACCGCACCCCTCCCTGCCCCTTCACCTCCTGCCCCTTCAAACACCCTCCTGCCCTTCAAAACACCCCTCCCTGCCCCTCCACC